CAGAATCGCTTTCATGGAGCCTTTGGTGTCCTTGATATCTATGTGCACGGAGGCAAAGTCCTGAAGACGCAGGCGCCACTCTGCAGGCTTTGGGTTCAGGCCAGCAACATGATCTGGCCATATCCCTGAGACAGCAGCAGATTTCCCAAAGAAGTTGCTGACATCAGAAATCTTGATGGGGTTGCCTGGCATATAAGCCAATTGAATTAGTTGTTTCACTTTGCTTTGCTTGGGGCATTCGTGACAATCCGCCTTCCAAGTCCAGCACTGCAAAAGCTTCCGTGGAAGGGCTTTGCAGATTTGCGGCGAGGTTGGCAAGGTACCTCGGATCACCGTGCTGCGAAGCGAGCCTTTGAGATGTGCAGCCCGGCACACCCCTTCTTTTCCAAGAAGGCGTACCGGATCTGCGCCTGCCAAGGCCGGTGGGATTTGGGTGCCGTTCTCTTGAACTTCATAGCATGCTGGCCTTGCCGGGCTGAGCTCCCTCTCGCAAGCGACGCCACTTGCAAACTCCGAGATCGTGGAGATGACCATTCACCTGTCGTGCATGCAGTGCGGGACCGGGCACCCCTGATGATCCCAGAACCGCACCTGCAGTTGCAGGACACCGCCACGATCGGCAGCACGGAGCCAGGTTGCGAGGATGTCTGCCAGCTTTCACTGAAAACCCACACATGCGATCTGACAAATCCTAGGCACTGCCCACCTGGCAAAAGGTGCATTATCAGCTGCTGCACTTGCGAAGCGGGTGTTGCCTGACTGGCACTTCTGCTCTGAGCCATCCTGCTTGTCAGCAGTATATGGCAATGCCTCGTGCAGTTCTTGCGTCTTCGCAACCTGTTGCACGCCAGCGGCTAGAGAGCATGAGCGGCCTGTCTGGTTTGACTTTACTGACTGGCTCGCATCTGGCCTCCTTCTCCCAATCCTTGTTGTCCGGCTCTAGACGCTGTCCGTGCAAGAAAGCCAGTATGGCCTGCAACTGGCTGTGGTGTGCACTGGCTCAGTTCCGCGACACACTTGCAAACGCAGGCAACAAAGCATCAGCCTCATCGAAGCGTCCGAGCTGTCTCAGTGAAGTCCTAAATCGACCAAGGCACCCTCGCACTTCAGCCGCTTCAGCAGGCTTGTTGTATGCCCGTAATAAGGCCCTTGCCCCTCACGAAAGCGACCCTTGGGCCAAGATGGAGCCAGCTTCACGCAAAGCCTGCGCCCGTCTGATCGGGTCTGGCACCCACCGTGTGTACACGCACATCTCGAGAATGCGTACCTTGCATCGGCGAGCGCCGCCTCTGCTTCGGCAGCCTTCGTGAGCATGAAGGGTTTTTGTCGTCACAGTGGACATATAGTCAGTTCACGTGCCTGCATGCGAGCCGCTGAACGGTTTGAGTACAACCTGCCAGCAGTTTCGGGTCATGAATATGCGCAAGAACTAAAGTCATAGGCGGACATTGTGGGTGGCTTCCCGGGCGTCAGGTTCACAGCCACAGCAAAACTCTAGCCAGACACGGGCGGCTAGAGAAAGCTAGGTAAAGCTAGATAATTACTTTGCTCATGTGCGGAAGATTTGTGGCTGTGAAAAAATGAAAAAATAGGTTCGGAAACCCAACAGAGAGCAAAAGTGCTGTGCTTTCTGGCCTTGAAGACGGAAAGCTAAACGCCAGATACTGCTAGACAATGCTTGATTCCGGCGGGAACCAGGGATGCTACAAAATGCTAGACAATGCTGGATAATGCTGTAGACAATGCTGGATAATGCGAGAAAATGCTAAATTCCGGCCACTGCCTGGCGACAATTCTAGAAAATGCTAGACACTGCTGCAATGCTAGATTCCGGGCAGGGCACAGCGTTTTCCCTGGACGTTTTTCTTTCTCCGGCCGGGCATCTTGAGTTGAAAACTCAAAGACAATCATATCCACAGAAGTGGAAGGTGCAGTTCCCAAGCTCAGCAGGTTTGTTTCCGAGTGAAGGAAAATGGTAGCAGCTTGCTTTTGAATGAAGGAAAAAGCGGTTGCTGAATGCAGGAAATATCTAGCAGCAAGGTTTCCTGAATGCAGGAAAAATCTAGCTCCCGTGCTCGTCTGCCGGCTGTGAAGAAGACGGCTTACACCGTTATAAAGACAAAGCCTGCCGATGATAAAGGCATCCAGGATGGGTCATGCAAGCTTCCCTCCAAAAGATGCGACTGACGAACTGCACCAATGAACCTTTACACTAAATCAATCCACTGTGCGCCGTGCGTGTGTAGCTCCGCCTCTTTGGGCGAGGCCTCGGCTGTTCTTGAGGCTTGGCCTGGCCCTAAGTGTCCGCGAGCTAGAGTCGAGGCTAGAGGCCACGGCCCTAATCGCCCGCGTGTAGTGATCTATGGCTCTTCTGAAGTCCTCAGGCTTAACGGGTGCATGATGTTCGAAACCTCCTCAAAGCCAGCAACGCCTTCTCCTTGAAAGCATTGCCGCCCTTGGTCTTCTCGTCAGCCGCAACCTGGACCACTTCTATTCTAGCTGTGCTTGCGCACGCTTCTTAGAAGTCCTACGCCTCCTGCCAGTCGGATGCCGGGTCCGAAGCCCACTCCTGATTCCACCAAGCCGTCTTCTCGATGCAGGAAATCTTCTGGCTGCCTCCGCTTGTGTCTCACCCTGCGGGATGTCGGAGGGTAGCTGCGGGCAGAAAACCTCAGGCACAAACTCATTTTGGTATCAAGCCCCAGCCGGTGTCGGGGCCGATTTGCCTGGCATCTTCTGCAGTAGGGCCAAGGCACGTGTTCCCGCCAGAAGGCGATGCCTAAAAGCTCGAAACAGGGAATGTGAGAACATCGCAACTCATGAACAAGTGTCTTCTCAAGCTGGATGCGGAGAAGAATCAATTGGTGGACGCACGTATCATCTGACTTTTCCTGAGCACAGCATGCAGAGCTTTCATGATCAAACCTTGGGGCTAATAGATCTGCACATTGGCTCAAGACCGACCCCCGCAAGGTCAGATGACGATAGTCCAGGGGACTAAAAGGAAGTCAGTATGCTGAGACGCAGTACTGTTCCACAAGCCAATCATTGAGAGCTGCGACTGCAAGCGCTTTTTGTGAAACGGTTCCGCCCCCCGTGCCGGGTCTTGTCAAGAGCATGATCACTTTGTTGCCGAAACAGACCTCAAGCGTCGGGTAGTGCCACCTCCCGCATGCACGTTTTGCCTCAGCTGGATTTCCTGACAGAGTGCTAATAGGCTTTGAAGGATGTTTTCGCATTTTACGTCAACCTTCACATCTGCTCACGGCTCCCAAGGACCGGTAAGATCCGGCTATCTTTCAGGGCCAGCAGAAGCGTCAGAATCCGTTCAGCCGGCCGCTCTGAGTCTCCAGGATTCAAGTCCAGAATCAAGAACGCTCTCCTGACTCTTCTCGCGGGATTGCTGTGGGTGCCGACCCCGAGTTGTCGAGGCGTAGAAATGAGGCGAAGCAAAGAGAGACACACTATGACTATGACATAGCGATGATTGCAGCGATGGTGCTGCCATGGGTGCACCATTTGCGCCCAAACCGGCGGTGCGGGCTTTGATACCGGTAGGGGACCGCTGCAGGATGACTACGCCGTGCCAACAAGGGGACGGCAACGACGAAGAGGAGGACTGAGAGGTAGGAGGAGATAAGGGAGCAGAATGGCGAAAGAGGCAAAACTCTTTACAGTTGCCAGAAGAGACCCCGACCGGAGCGGCAGGCTTCGCTGCATAGCGTTCCAGGCGTCCCTTCTCAGACAAGACACAGGCCTGACAGAGCAGGCATATAGTTGTAACATCACGTCTGCACAACTTCGCAAACAAACCTCCTCGTCGTTGAACTCCGATTTTTGAGGCTCCTGTCATTTCAGCTCGGCTGTGCAAAGCATAGGCCCTGCGCCTGGACTTGTCCAGCCGACACGACACCGATTCATGATTCTCTCCTGTGCCACGCTCACCTCCTTGAACTGCCGCAGAAAGGAAGTCGCAGAAAACTCCAAAGCGTCCAGCCTTGATGAATGCACTCTTCAGTATTGAGCAGCACCGTGCCACCCCTGGTGCAGTGCGGTTTTTGTAACCTTCAGTGTAGAGGGTTTGAAACGGGCGCTGACTCTGAGCAGCCGCGCGCGTCCACGACCTCTCGGAGAGGCAAGTGCCCATGCTCCCGGCGGATGAAATCCTTGAAAGATTCGGGCTCGGGGGCTTGAATGTCGACACCTGATGATTTTGAGGTTGTGGCCATCCGGTCGGGTGCCCGAACATCTTCGATTCGAGGGGTCGCCCTGTGAACCAGCCTCGTTGTCTGCATGAAGCCCTACTTTCCGTGCTCCTGGCCGCCCTTGCTCTCCGGCCGTTGCAAGTCTGCCACGGACATCGGTCAAGTGCCAGCACTCGAATTCGGTGTATCAGGGAATGTGACGACTTGACTGACTGGAAGCGATGCTCGGCTGCGTGGTGAACGTGTTGTGGCCTTGTCAGCTGCTGCTGCTACCCATGCAGATCACGATGCATCCAGCCGAAGGTAAACGGCTGCTTTGCAAACGCTTGGTGCATGCATGAGGCGCGAAGAGATCCTTCCTTTTTTCTTCACGCAGGATTCTCTCCTGTCAGGTGCCAGAGACCAATGCATAGAACTCCTCAGGCGGGTCTTCGAATACTGCAAAAGCTGCTACCAGCCTCGTATAGGCATCCACACGAAGCTCTGGCAATACGACAACGATGTTTGGAATAGATAGAACTGATAGGATTAGTCTCCACTTGTCGGACATGAGCTCCACATGCTGTTGGGAACCCCGTTCGGTGCGAGTCAGGAACTCGTGCCCCCTTGAAAAGAGAACTCGGGTAAAAGCCCAAAACATGCACCCACGAAGTGACTGCAGTGTCGAGTCTTCTGTTTCGAGGGTCCTTTCCAAGCTCCCGGTAGTCCGTGGTCAGCTCCTGCGCCATTGGCAGGGATGCGAGTTTGGTAAGTAACGACCAGTCGAAGCGGGTACGTACAGGTACATCCAGACAGTTACATCCTCAGCTCTTGCCACTTGACATTCTGGTACATCTGCACACTTTGTAATCCACCGCTCTTCTCCAAGAGAGGCTCCTCTCCCGCCTCAATTCGACGCCTGGCACACCAGGAATTGTAAGCAACCCTGCCGGATGATGGGGTGAGGCTATTGAGAGTGGGCTTCCTCTGGGTGCTCCTAGCATCATTTCGGAATAACGATCGGCATCGTTGCGGCCTACACATTGCGTGGCGGAATCATGGATGATTGGAACCCACAGCCTTGGACAGGGAGGCTTTTCAGTCCTGCATCACTAACCGAGAAGACCTTCCGCACCCATGCGCGGGTTCTGTCAACGAGAGATGCCCTGAAACTTTCGATTGCTCAAGCGATTCGCACGCCGCCCAGCCCAGCACCTCGTAACGAAGGAGTTGTATCCACCGTCCTCTTCGGCCTGGGGGCTTGGGCAAACCAAGTGCTTTGAGCGGTGTGCGCTTTCGAAGGCCCTGGCATCCTTGAAGGCCACGTTGGGATCCTCCGAGTGGTTCAGGTACCTGTCACGCTTCACAGCACTTCCGCAGCAACGCAGCAAAGAAAATGCAACTTGCGGTCACCAGGACAGGTTCAAGTTGTTCATGCCCGACGTCAGCACGCCGTACATGATCTGTGCACACGGCTGCATGTATCGGCCCCTCGGAACAAGCAACCCTCGAAGGAGGCCCTAGCAGCCTCCCATCCCATTACGTTGGCAACTCTAGACAGTTGACTTGCAATTGACATAGGCTAGACAGACTACCGGAAACGAAAGTTAAAAGAACGCTGGCATAAAGTGAGACTGCTTGCAAGCGCCTATTCCATGCTTACGGCCATGGGACTTTCTTTCCGGTATGCCAAGTGACGAAGTGATGGTTGTATCTTTGAGCTCGGTTTGCTGCGATAACTTCGGTGTACCCTTGCGCTTGGACCAAATGCCTTATCGCTGGCAGGACACCTCTCCGTCTTCGTCCCGCATAGGTGTCCAGCCATCATCCATCGTCAAGGCAGCAAAGAAAGACTTCACCTCAGAAGCACAAAACGCATTGTCTGATAGCAGTAGTGCGTTGTCAAGAAGGTACCATGGCCTTGTCCATGACTCCATCAGGCAACGCCTCGTCCACATGGCGAGGCATCTTTGGTATAAGGCTCTTCTTCTCCCTCTCTCTCTCACATGTATATGCATATATGCGTACATATACATATGCACGGATACACCTGTATTCGTATGCAAGGAACATAATACGCACATATATACATATATGCATCTATGATATGTAAGTTGTCGTATATCATACAGATTATACATCGATAGATAGAAAAGGAGAAGGAGGGAGAGAGAGGGAGAGAGAGAGAGAGAGAGAGAGAGCGAGAGCAGGTTGCTGCGGGACCGGGGTTTTGTCAACGGCTACCGCACGGCCATATTGGTTGGTTACTTACTCAAGGTTCTTCCCACAGCAACTATCACTGGCAAGAAACACCGCAAATACCGTGTATTCCTGACTTTGTCAAACGATGTCTTGGGGCAGGCCACATAGGCTCGACATTCCCCTCATGGAGCAGCACCACTGCAAGACTTTTTCAAATCCACCCAACACCAGAACACAACTTCGGCATGCAATGTGTGATTGAATGCTAGCGTTCCTGCACGAACTAAGTTTAATTACTTGGACGTCTTAAGGATTCGATTTATGGTGTTCGTTGCACGTTGACAGAGGTATGTGGCTTCAATAAAACTAGCACGTATGACTTACAATGTGTCAAGGACTTGTACTTGCCTGTGGTTACTGAACTTGATACTTGCGGGCTCGAATCCTGCCTGCGCGGATGTTCATGCTACTGTTGTTTTGGTTCCCCACGACCTACAACCCAAACTACCACGCTGCTGGACACATGACCCATATGAGTACGAAAATCTGGTTCTACTACGGGATGCTCTGACTGAAGCCTCGCTCGGGGAATGGTGCAATAAAGCTCCACAAATCCCTGTGGTCTAGGGCCCCTGCATGGCCTCCATCCCCACAACTAGCCGATATACTATACAATCCCGTCCCATCCCCATGGCCCTCGATGATCTGTTTGTCATGGAGGCTGGACCTCTGACCCATGTAGCCACGAGTACAGCGTTTGTGCATAGACAGAGCAAGCCATGTGTTTATAGACAACTCATTCTTTTGGTTATAGACAAGGCCGGGTGTTTATAAACAACGGACAACAACAGTATGCTTCCCATAAGCAGAAGCACCGAATGTACCAGTGTTTTCATAACTTTCCCAGACAAGGTCTCGGTCTAAACCACAGAAGCCCACAGATGAAGCAAGCCCAACATGTCAGTGTGCAAGATTTGCAATATTGCAAGGTTTCTGGTCTTGTAAGTTGGTTTGTGGCGGAAGCGGTTGCATGCCCTTGCGATGGTGGACGGTGGTGGTGATGATTTTGGTGGGATGGCGGGGAGGGAGTGCGCCCCAACCCCTCACCAGCGCGTGGGCTTATGGCTTATGGAAAGCGCGTTTGTTCACAATTGAACCCCGTGCTTACAAACAAGACGGGCTGGGGTTTCGGAGTTGAGGTTGGAATCGGAAATGCAAGCATGCACGGTGTCGTACCAAAAGCTAAAAACCTCACCTGGCACAGAATCTTAGCAGACACATGACCACAAGTGCAACAACTGCCGCGTGCATCCAACAACGCCCAGCGAACGTCCAGAACAGCACTGGCGCTCAAGCAGACTCGAAACATACCAACCGTTGACAATGGCGGTCTGCACAAGCTCAGGCGCTATACCGCGTCTCATAGCGATGGGGCCCTTGTTCAATCTGTGTGTGTGTGTGTGTCCAACTCTGTTTCCAAGAGATGTGAGTGAGTTAAGCAGCAGGGGGCAGAGGGTCTCATTTCACGGCCTCTGCCAATGAAGCTCCGTGATATTGAGACAGGTAAACGTACCTGCAGTGGTCGGCATGGGCACATTTGTGCAGCTTGCGACTACACAACTGTTGATTGCGGGTAGGAGTGCAGTGCAGTTTCATATGCAGTTTCATGTGCAGTTACATGAGTGATTCGCGTGTATCCTATGGTAATGCTTCTGATTGCATGTTCTGACTTTCCCGTGCAGCCTCTGACTTTCCCTGACAGCTTCTGACTTTCCCTGACAGTATGCACCGACAGATCAGACCTGCGACACGATGTGTCAAGTGTGCTTCACAACGGCATTCCCTATGGGCGCCGTGTCTCCCAGAGGTAGCTCTGGCGCTGACTTTCCCGATTGACTGCATAAGCATTGAATGACTTTCCTTGACTTTATATCCATGCTTGCAAGCTGACTTTCTCAGTGAGTCTTTCCCAAATGCCTTTTCCGAAACCTGAACGCTGACTTTCCCACTGACTTTCTTATGATCTGATTGACTTTCCCGAACCTGACTTCACCGCTGACTTGTCGCAGGTCTTCGGCTGCAAGTTGAGTACATGAGCTGTACTTTTGGTAGTTGCTGATCAGTTTGCCATGGATACCTCAGGAAAAAGACGCAGTACCGGGACATCTCTTCCCCCCCCTCCTCCCCCACCTCTCCCCCCACCCTCCTCCTCTCCCCTCCCCCCTTTGCCCCCCCCTCCCCTCCCCACTGCTGCCCCTCCCCCCTCTCGTGGCACCACGCCGAAGTGGATTCCACCCCCCCCTCCCCTTCCCCCTCCCGCCTTCCCTCCCCCACCCCCCACTCCTGCAGTTTGCCCGACGCCAGCTCCGTCATCTTTGCCGATCTCTTCTGCATCCAATGTTGGTTTGGGAACAGCAGATGTAGCTCCCTACCTTGATTGCTGCGCGTGCTGTAAGTGATCGACCTGTCCCACAGCAAGAGGTTCCACCAGCCATCACTCTTCATGCAGATGGCGCAGGTTTCCGTCTGTCGTTTCGTTCGGTGGCCGATTTTGCTGAATACTCAGCAATCATGTCGGCAAACTTGACTCATGTCCGAGGCCACAGAGATGTGTATGCCGGCCTCAACAATTTGCTCGACATTCAGCAGACTGTTGTTTCTCAAAAAAGTCAGTCAGCAGTCAGCAGCTTCTGGTCAGAGCCAGCAGTCAGCCCTCACATATCAAACGGATGACTCTTCCCAGCCCTCAAAGCGACTTCGGCAAGTCCATGGAAGCGGAGTTTCTCCGGTTGCAGATCCTAACAGCATTCGACTTCGTGCAATTTGCGATAACATTCCTGGTACTCATGCTGATCGTGTAGGGTGGCAGCTCAGTGCGGACCAGACTTACGTCTATCGAGTTAAACCCTTGCAAGATTCGTACAAGCATTTTGAGAATCGATCTCTTCTCAAAGGGCATGTGGAAGTTGAGTGGGAACAAGATTCAAACTTCTTCGTGATTCCCGAACTTCGTGGGTTGGAAGTGCGTGATGAAGAAGCGAAGCTGATACACGTGTACTCAGCCAGCTTCAATTGGGTCGCATTATACCCCATGTTTACTGCCCTACGTCACTTGATCAGTTCCAGCCCTGGCCGTATGAAATCGGCATGTGAGATTTCGAGAAAGATACAGGCCAATCTTGAGTTGCAGGTTCCCAGCTCCTTGATGCAAAGTACTGCGGACTATCTGATGAGCCTGTTAGGTCTTCCTTCCCAGTATGTCAACTCGACGGCATTGAAGTATGTCTCTCAAGCAATTGCTGCAGCTGATCAAGCTGCAAACATTCGCTCTGTTGAGCTTCGTTCTTTGTCGAGTTCGTGCAAGTGTTTGAGCATCCACTTCACCCACTTTGAGAGGACCATGGTCAGGTCGCAGACTTCGGCAGCAGGGATTGCTCGTTTGCCTGTTGCACACAACACAACAGTGGCCGGGGCTGCCTCTATCCTCCTTGAGGGAACGATTCGACCATCGTATTGGGACGCTCGTGACAGCATGTGGTCCCCACCGGTTTCCTTCTATGCTAGGGCTCATACTTCAGATGCAGAACAAGCGCAAGAGGCGGCGTCCAAGTACGGTGGCATTCTGAGTGAGCGTCCGGTGTGCATTTTTGGATCTGCATTTAATCGACAAGGGTCCCTCACGCCCCCCCATTCAAGGATCCCCATGGGAGGAGTTGAGGGTGACCATTCCTGCAGTTACATTCGTGACGTTGCCCGTGCCAAAGATGGCAGATGGGTCTTTCGCTCCTCATGTTCATCCCGGAAGCGCTTCTTGTCTTTTGGAAGGTCTGAGTGCCGTAAGTTGCCTTGACCAGCCGCGTTCTCAAGCCTCTTCCGTTGTCAATTGCTATGTATGCACGCACGTGTAAAAACATGCCAGTTCGGATTGAGAGGTGTGCCAGCAAGAGATATGCAAGTGTGGTGCAAGTGAAGTCTCAGCAGTAGTGCAAGGGTGTGCGTCAGATGTGCAAGAGATGAGCAAGTGTGGTGCAAGAGTTGTGCAAGTGATGTGCAAGTGCTGCAGTTAGAGAACAACTTGAGCAGGTTTGTTCTTCTATGGAGCTCTTTGATTCGAAGTGTCCTTAGCGATCCCGTGGACTTAGCTTTGTCGCTAGTTCAGAAACCATGGCATGGAATGGACAGTGGGATACCAGCACAGGGTACGGGAGATCCCAACAATCGTGGGGTCAGCATCGCTATCAGCCGTACAGCTCGGGAAGTTGGAATGATCCCAACTTCTCCAATTCTGCTCCTGCTAGTCAGCCACCTCCCCTACCTCCGCCTCCACTTTCTTCGGCACCTTCATCATCGCCGTCTACTCCCATGCCACTTCATCAAGGTCCTGTTCTTGTTCCTGCACTACCGAATGGATGGGCGTCAGATCGTGATCATTATGACTCAACAGTGCTTCATGGGTTGTCTTTTCGTAAGTACATCGAAGCCACCCCGTGGTCGCGAAAGAAAGGGATTGCAGGAAAAGATCCACTCAGCATTCCTGTTCAGGAATTCCTGTTCCATGGAGTTTCAGATTGGCGTCTGCGAGCATTAAGTCATGGCAAGTTTTTCAGTGTTGTGCCAGTTGCCACAGTTGCTGAAGCGGTGTTCGTGTCGCAAGTGACAAAAAACCTTCGAGATCGCAAAGTTGACATCGATGCAGTTGCTACGCAACTTTTTCAGGCCGCTAATCC